TTTGGAGAGATCTGTGAGAATGAAGAGCGTGAATATAAATATCCATGTGGGTTTATTGAATTAAAATGGTAGAAGACAGAGAAGGTGGTGATTGAAGAAATGCAACAGAGAAAGCTGACAGAAGAGAGTGAGCACTTGCAAGTCACTGTTATGTGTTCCATAACTTTGCGTGTGCGTGCTCACCTCTCTTTCTGTCAGTTGCCTGACTTCTCGCTTTCTCTCTCTCTCTATCTCTCTCTCTTTTTTGACTCATCTACATATCTCTAACCTCTTATCATCTCTTTTGCTGAGCACTGGTATGGTGATGTGGATAGGATTGATGCCCTTTCATTATCATTTCGTTATGTGTAGATATATATTCTCTATAATCTTTTTTTTCTGTATTGGTGTTGTAGTGGGTGCTTGCTTACGCTTCAGAATGTTTGTTCTCAAGCACTTTGGTGGAGGCTCAGATTTTACGAAGTGTTCTATGTTGTTTTCTTCTAGTGGATCTAAGAATAAGCGCGAGTTTTGATGATCATGAACCCCCACCGGCACACATTCTTTTCCAAGATTTTTTTGTTTATAATTAACTATTTATTCATTCTCTCTTTGTCTTTTATTTGGATATAATCTAAGTTTTATTTTGAACGTTATATATAATCTGAGTTTTTCTTCTCTTTTTTGTTTGTTAAATTTCTGCATGTTGAAATTTTCTGAAATTTTTAATAGCTACTTGCAAAAAACCTTTGATTTTATAAGCAGCTATCTTCCTCCTTCTAACTTCTCTCTTTTTTTTTTTTTCTTTTTTCTTTTTTTCTTTTTTTTTCTTTGAAAGCTGGTTTACTTTTCTCTTTTTTCAGTTTTTAGAAACCAGATGTGGTTATCAGGTTTCACCAGAAGCCATAAATGATTGATTTTGTGAATGCTGATATTTTTCAGTTTATTTCATTTACACACTAGTTCAATGCGGTTTTAATGGGGGTATGAATTTTTCTGATGAGTAAGTTGGTAATGAAACTCTGAATCTGGCTGTTTGTTCTTAAAAGTCTTTCATATCTAATTTCCTTTTTGGTGTTAGGTTTGTACGGATTAATGCTAGTTTTTGCATTGAAGTCTTATCTTGGAATGTGATCCGGCAGTAGGTGGAGGAGATTTGCTTAAATTGATTTCATTGCAAGTTGTGAAAAAAGAAGAAGATTGAACCCTATACCTAATGATTTTTATTATAAATTCTTTTTTTCTTGCAAGTTTCTTCATCTTTGCGTCTAATTTGGCTATGGAATAAATTTCGTTGCTTGGTTTTTGCTTTCTTCCAAGTCAAAATGTTAGTTTATACTAAAACTATTTATCTTGTATGGAATAAAAGGAGGTTGAAAATGTTATTTTATACTGAAATCACTTAGCTTCTGCTTCTAAAGGAGTAAACTGTTGTTTTTATATTGCAATGGTTGCTTTAATGAAAGTTTCACAATTTAATAGATTCAAATTATGTGACTTTTGTTGTGCAGGCCAAGCTCAACTTTAAATGTTTTTTTTTTTATCAAAGCTTAGCTTTGTAATTGGATGCCTAATTTTGCAGTGATTTTTTGGAGTCTGCTTTGAGCAAAGGCATGAGTTGGTGTTTTTTTTACCTCCGCAATATTGGCTTTGTAGGGCATTTTGCTAAACTTGTGTCATCCATTCAATTAAGAAAGTGTCTTTGTGTCGTGTTTGTTGAAATTAAATTGTGAAATATGTGTAATACTGGTGTCTAATGAGCGTTACCTTGAAATCCATAAATGAAGTCGATAAATAGATTGATCTTAGGTTGCCTGATTTATATCTCAGCAGATGTTACTGTTTGCTGGTTTAGTCTTTATAGCTTTGCTTTAATTTCCAAGCTAATTCTTAGTTTTTTGTCTATTGGATGCCTAGTTTTGCAATGATTATGTTTAGATACAAAATATATTAATAGTAATGGGGCTTAAGAGCATCTCCAAACCTACTACAAAAATTACTGCAAAATGGAGTAGAAAATGCAGTTATGAACAAACAAGTACAGCAGTTTTTGTTTGTTCATAACTGCATTTTCTACTCCATTTTACAGTAATTTTTGTAGTAGGTTTGGAGATGCTCTAAGAAGCAATGGTGTGTTTTGTTAATTTCCATGAATGAGTAACCGGAGTTTTAGTCATATTCACCATATATATTGAAAATACCTTGTTTTCGTGTCAGATGAAATCAAATTGTAAATATGGTGTTGTGTTTGATTGTAAACCTAATTAATTACTTGTTCTAGTGTCTTAAGTGCTTCACCAGCTTTAATTAAGTATCATAGTTTCATAGCCAGGGATTGTATAGAGGCAGATTCTACCATATCTCTGAAGTAACGTGTTAGGCGCTATGGTATATTCTGATGTGTTAGACTATCTTTGTGATCTTCCTTTTACTGCCTCTCCAGTTAGACAATTACGCTATACTAATTGTTTGATAGGTCAGCTAAAAGAAAAGTACAAAATTATTGTAGTAACGGCATTCGTTTGTAAGCTTCTAGGCAACTCTAGAGATAATACCATTGTGAGAAAAAAGTTTTATCGACTGCTTTGTTTAATCCTGTTTTGTGTATTTGGGCATTGTCATCACCAAAAGACCTATGCAAGAAGACATCCCGTTAAAGCAATAATAACAACCTGCTTTTGTGTTTGCTTGCTTTTGCTGGAGAATGAGATCAATAGAAGATAATTCAAGGATATATAATTTCAAGGTTGGAACTTGGAAGTGTAGCAATCAGGTAAAATCATTGATAATAAATAGTGAATTTGACAAGCGATTTCTAGCTTGATGACGTGGAGAATATTGATGTCATTACCTCATTTTGCTTACATTTTGCATTTTGTGTTTGTCATATTCCAATCACTCAGTTATTGAATTTTGCAATTTAAGAGTTTATGGTGGTTGATAACATATAGAGACGTGTTTCTCAATCGTGGTGGATGCAGTGGATTTATTGACCTGAAACTGAAGATTTGGAAGAGCACTTGTTGGTTTTTCTCGTCTCTCTCTGCATATGAGAGAAAGAGAGAGAGCAGCTCTGAGGTATTAGTCCATTTCTTCTCTGCTTTTTGTAGGCAAGAACTTGGTTCATGTCGATTGTGTCAATCTGAAGGTGTGTGTCATGCATGTTCTTTAGATCTTTTTGTCTCCCATTTTGCTTCACAAGCATATTAATAAATGGGGAAGAAAATGGCTTACACGCTAGAACCTGGAATTGAACTTTGCTAACAACTCATTAACCGGAACTCAATTATATCTGTTATATGGTGAGTTGCATGAATGGAATAGCCCTTAATAGGCTAAATAGCATCTACTGGTTTTATGTATTGCTACCTTGTTTTTTTAATATTTGTCATCTGGTAAACTTGCTTCTTCTTCCTATCATATTTTCTTAATTGATATTTTTTTGCCCTAGGCCTATAAAGCTAAACCATTTCATGACTTTGCTCTAATTTATTCATCTGAAACAACAGAATTAAAAGGGTAGCTAAATTGTTATCTTTAAATATGTTCTTGTGTGAACTAATTTTTGCGTATCAATCATGTTGGATTTATCGTCTTTTACCTAGAATAAAAGACGTGTCTGACTCTTAGGTCTTAGCTTAAAGATGATACGGAAAATTTTATCATGAGAATGCTTCAGTGATCAAATTCTTAGAGACTCAGAAACAGAATATGGTATGATCCTGTGGCCAGTCTTCTCATATATATTCACAGCAAAAGTTGCAAATTTTTTTATGATCATATATATACTCATATTACGTGATGTTAATGTTTTAAACAGAGACGTATCATAACATAAGAAGCAAGGTGGTGCATGGAGAATGTGTTCTTGTTATAATCAAGGCTGCTATCTTTGGTAACAAACATATTGTAGATGGGCAAAATAACTTTCCATAGGTTTAAATTTAGGGTTCATCACTTTTTTGAATCAGTAGACATGATTTTGTTTTGAACCAATGCTCTGGAAGTAGTTACTCATCCACTAGTTTGATACAAATTAGTTGGTGTAAATAGTTCTAATGGGTACTTTATTTGTTGAAACTGTACAAATACAATACTGTTCTCGTCATGTAGAAAATTTTCTTTTTCCTTTTAATTTTCGGAAAGCTAACTCTTAAATAAACATATGAATTTGTGGACTGCTCTTGCAGATAAATCTTTGAAATCGAGAGATTTATGTGTTGAACTGAACAAATAACCTCCAAACTAGATTCTGTATGCTTGCTTATAGAACCGATTTATCTTAAACCAGGTAGATACAACGCGGAATAGTACTGGACCAGTTAGGCTAGCCGACAAGTTTTAGAATACTTGTTTTGATTGTGTTGTGTGTGCAACAGGTCAAGTCTTGAGGTAAATGGATGAGAACCTTCTTTAAAGAGCTGAGTAGTCTAATTTTAAATCACAAACAAATGAATAAATGAATGTAGTGAGGACCTGTAGCTACCCACTCTTTGAATCTAGTGGTAAAAGGAGTGTCTAACATGCACTCCGCCACCAGAATTCATTTTTTGTTGGAAGAGATTATTTACATTGTTTGAGTTCTAGTAAAGAGGTGAAACTATATTTTCTTTGGTAGAAAAAAACATGAAGTCAAAGTTCGTGCTTATATGTTCCAGCTCTTTGTACTAAATGATTATCACCAATCAGAGTTAGAACTACCAATGCAATCAAGGATTAGGTAGACAATGTATCCGTAAGATCCGTTTCGATTGGATTAGCAGAGCATACACCAAATCGATTGGATTAGTACCCAAAAACCATTGAAGATATATTAGATTAAATACAAGGAAAAAAAGAACACGAATGTAGTGGCATTTGATAGTGGTTTGTAGCAGGTAAAAGACTGAAACGAAGTGTACGCACATAACGGTGTCGTTTCCAAAACGCAACATTATTATTTCTCTAGACTTTGACCAAACCCACCACCTATCCCACTCAGCCTAAACAACCTCCCTCGAAAAAGGGAAACGGCTGTTATATCACGGCTTGGAAACCGAGGGAGCGTCTTCAACGGCAACCAACGAGGCACTGTTACCGTTAACCGCCGTGTTTGTTGACTGGACGGAGAGGTTAGGAGACAAAGGAACGCCGGCATCTTTAACGGCTGAAGAGATCAATGGTTTACGAGAAGGACACGTGGCGGTTGAGATGGTTGTGGCCAAGGAGATGGGCATGAGGCAGAGTCCTTTGCCCTGTAAGTACTGCATCGCTGATCCCATGTCCTCTTCCAATAGCTTCGCCACTTGTTGCTCCGTCATCTTCGCCGTCGTTTGATTCTCGACGGGGGTGGAAGAGTTGTTTTCATGGGACCCATCAGATTCCTGAATAAGTTAAAAGTAACATTTTTGGCATCAGGAAAAAATACATGAAAAGCAAAACCCTAAAGCTATGATGTCGGAATCAAAGTTTCTTTAGGCTTTTGTTGAAGAGAGATAATGAGTGAAAATCAGCACGCGTGTGCCTTTGCTTTTTTCAGTAAAATTTGCTAATTTTAGTTTGTCGTTTGGTTTTTTACTCCTTTTAGACAACTTTTAATGGTACTGGAAATTTTAAAATTCTATTTTTTTTTACAAATTTTAAATCTATTTCTGTTAACTGACATAAATAATATCTCAATCTAATGTTTGTAGTGAGTTTGTCCATCATCTTCAACATCATGTAACAAAATGACTAGAACGTGCGGATAATAGGATAGAGGATAACTTCACCAAAAGGAAAAAAAAAATATATATATATCGGATGACAACTTAATTATATTAATCTATGTAATTCATTTTTCTAATTACCTATGATAACGTTGACAAAAAAATTACCTATGATAATAATTAGAATTAAGTAGAAACAAAAATAGTTGAATTACCTCACAGATTTGAGAGGAAACAGAAGCAGCACCTCCTAATCTACTCATGCTTAGTACCTACATACAATTTTTTTTAAAGGTTTACTAAGTTCACCATTCTATAACTTAAATAAACATATGCAACATGATTACAAGTTATAACTAACTACCCGACACGTAAATAATTACAAAAATAGGGCGAGGGAGTTTAGTTGCAGAGGCCCATATTCGATTACATATTGTAATGTTAACTCAGAGGTAATGAAGCTTGCATTTTTATATTGCAATAATTATTAAAATTATCAGAGAGAGAGAGATTCACCTTGACTTGGAGCTGTAAGAACTTGACATAATCGATAATCTCATCGAGCATTGATGTTTTGTCTGTCTGAGAATCATTAATTTTAAACAATAGAAAAACCCTTGTTATAGAGATCCAACTCTGTTTATCACTGCTAATTATTAATTTAAGCTAGTAGTAAAATAGCTAATCAGTGTTTAATCATTTGATTGTATAAAGTCCAAAGCTCAATGTAACCTACTAAAACACTACTGGCATTTGTGGTCCAAGTTATGAACTCCAAGACTAAAACGGATCAGTGTGATTCATATGATTATTTTAAGCTTAAATAACTAGCCATAGACGTATATGATCAAAATAAATACTAATGACGATTTAAATGATGCAAGCATAACCTTGTTGCCATTAGGGACAAGTTCTTGAAGAGATTTCATCCTTTCAGCTATTCTCTCTCTCCGTAACTGTTCCATAATTTCAAAATAATTCAATAACCAACCCCAAACATATGCCATTGACCAGTTTGCTACACCTACGGTTTTCTTGGTAACTGAACACTAATAATGAGGAGTGAAATATCTAACCCGTTCGGCTATACTGTGAGGATCAGTGGCTTGACCTCTCCTAGCTCGGACTTTAGACTTACTCTGTGGCGGCGCCGCCGTGTTACCGGTGGTGGTTGACGCCGTCGCGTGCGGTTGCGTTTGTGTTTGACCTTGTTTCATTACCCCACCTCCCGATCCCTAAGAGTTGATAGTATTTTTATGGCAACATTTGATTATTATTGAGCTCTTTCTCAAAACAAAAACATTTGATTATATTTTCTGTTTGTGTATTAAAAAAAAGAAAGATGAAACGGGATCATACCTGAGGGAGGTGGAAAGGGAGAGATCCGGTGGTGAAGCCATTGTTGAGAGCTTGAATCATCGTAATCTGGTTTCTTGAATCAACGTCGTGATGATGAAATCCAGCGACGGTGGGTGGAGGTCCAGGAGCATCGTCCATGACGGAGGAAGGCCAAGGAGCGGAGGAGAAGATGTGGTGGAGGAAGTCATCCTGGTCGAACGTTGCTGGAGATGACTGGAGATGAGGAGAAGAAGAAGACGACGAAGGGCTTAAAAGAGATGAGTTCATCATGACTTATGTTTGTGTTGAGAAATGGATGTTCGATGAAAATGTGGAGGTTTAAGGCTTTATGGTGTTTTAAGGAGGGATTATGATGATAATATTTGGAAGTTTTGAGGGTCATAAAAGTAAAATATGTTTAATATTTTTGTCAGCATCTTCGTCCTTACAGACCCGTATATTTGCCTTCTTTGGTGTTTCTTTCATTGTTTATCACCACAAACATTTTCGTTCATTTAACTGACGATATCTTCAGATTAAAATTTTCTTTATTGATAGAAGATTTATGACATCTTTGCAGTAACTACTATATATTGTAAGTAAAACATATCTCTCTATAAATAATTTCGTATGACTTTTAGTTGTTTTACTTATGCATGTATATCTTATGAACCTTCAAAAATCAGATCTATAATAGAAATTAATTTAGCTCAAAAAGTTTTTTTCAAGTTTTGGATTTCTACAAATTATAAGAATTTCCGGATATTTTGGTTTCTGTTTGAAAACTATAGTTGGATAGTCAGAAAGTAATGGTGTAGTGGTCCGGAGTTTGAGTCATGAAGAATGTTATGTGCATGTTGCATGTATAGGCTAAGGATCAAAAATCCACCAATAACATACTTTTGTGGTATTTTCATTTCTTTCATATACATCTTAAATGACAAAATTTCTATTTTATTTTTGAACAAAACTTGTTTCCATCTCCTAAGGTGAACTAGCTTTTGACCCGTGCATCCGCACGGATGTATGTTCTATATAATTATATGTTTGTGTTATTTGTAAAAAACATTCATATTTTATATTTCATAGGTTATTGAATTAATGTTGGTGTATCTTGTTCATTTTGTTTTATGTTTTTAACTATCAGATTGTATATTTTTAGATTGTATTTTTATTTGGTAAACTAAACAATTAAGTGTAAACTATTATAGTATCTTGTTTAAATTGTGTTTTATCAAACTATATTATAAATTTTGTGATTGATATTATTATTTTAAATTAGATTTTATAGATATTTAAAAAAAATAAATTATTTAGACAGTAAAAATAAAAAAAATACACATTTACAAAATAATAAAATCTCGAGTAATTTTATTAAGAAAAGCCGTTTTGTTAAATTGAAGTGGGTAATTCGATTTTAGGCAATTTGGTTTTGATTTAAAATTAGTGGATTTTAAATCTTCATTAAGCCCATTTGAAATTAAATGTTTTAATTCCAATGGCATAAGATTGTAACTTTTGTGGAAAATTAAGAGATATTTTCTATTTGTACTTCCCTTTAATAGTATAGATGGTATAATTCACCCCCTCTTCTCTAAACCAATTAAATTTCCATATAGAATTAGTTAAAAAAAGTATCTCTATAATATTATTTGAGAAGTCAGTTTCCTATGTGGCGCTCTTACGTTCACTCTCACGACGGTTGATTACACTGATACCCTTAATGAATTAAAATAGTTATAAATAGTATTATTAGTTATTTTATTTATTTTCCTTTTCAAAATTTCCAAAATAATATCTCTATAATATTAGTTAAGAAGTCAGTTTCCTACGTGTCGCGCTCATGTTAACACTCGCGATGGTTGATTACATAGATACCCATAATGAATTATTAGATTTTAATATATTTTTTTGTACCTTTTTCCAAATAACATATATAATAAAAATGAAATATTTCTAAAATTTTAAAACAAATTTTAGAACAAAAATATATATATATATATAATGGGACTTTATTAAAAAGGAAAATTCACAAAATAGTAATACTCCCATTAATATATATTTTAAATAACATAAATATATTTTTAAAATAATAAAAATATATATATGTTCATGAACATCTAAAAATTTATCAGTTACACTTTATTTTCTAATATTTTTTAGAAATCAACATATAATTTGATAAATATTATGAAATACATGTATATTTAAGCGATAAATAAAACTAATTTGATTTGACTTAACTAAAATAAAGAGTAAATAAATATCATGAAAATACATGTATATTTAAGCGATAAATAAAACTAATTTGATATGACTTGACTAAAATAAAAAGTAATCATACTTCAATTTTAATTTAAAAATATATTTAACTCAATATACTCACAAAGTCAATGACTCGACTGATCTAATTTATATCCAAAATTAAACATTTTATAATTTTATAATAATAATATATTTAATTTTATACATATAAATTAGAGGTTGACTCAAAGCGTATTAAAAAAGAAAAGAAAATATTAATCAATTTATATGCATGATACTTTAAAATATTATCATTATATTCATTTATGTAATTCTGAATTAAATACTTCAGCTTATTATTTATTTCATTTTAAGCACAATATATATTAATTTATACATAATTTAGCTATAATATATTTACATATCTAAAGACAATAATCAACCGTAATAAAAATAAGAAAATTAATCAATTTTTTATTCTATTTAGAATTAAAATATTATAGCGGAATTTGAAAAATAGATATTATCCAATATACCAAATTGATAACCAAACTGATTATTGATCAAAAAAAGAATTAAACCGATAATAATATATCCAAAGTCATATGTATAATTAGAATAATGTAATATTTATTAATACAAATTATACATATAAATTGATTCAAAACTAAAACTAAATATCAATCAGTGATTATAAAATATTAGTTTTATGAATATTCATACCCGTGCATGAGCACGGGAAATCACCTAGTTATAATTAAAAGAAAAAAATAAACTAGCTTAACAAAAAAAAAGGAATTAACTTAAGACGCAGCCGTTAACCTCTTCATCCATCAATTCTTTTTCTTTTTTTCCATAATTTCCACATAATTCTTCACTTAATTTCTCTGTTAAAATCCAAGATTTCGTCAAGGAAGTTAATCTCGCCACAGAGCTCTCACCGATGTGAGTTTCATCTTTTCTGCAAACTCTGTTTCCAAATCGAAACGAAAAACCCTAATCGGTGATATTGATTCAGGTGTCTTATTTGAGCAAATTCAAAAACTTGGAGAAGCTTGACCTACGTTTCAAAAACGACGACGGATGACTTCACGAAGCAATGTCTAATCCGGTTTATTTTCCTTGTGAACTGGACGCTCCTAGTGATGCTCATCATCCAAACACATGGAGCTACAAAATTTGATTAGTTTAGTTTAATTATAAGAAGTTCAATTATTTAATGATAGTTTTGTTATAATAATGTACTTAATTATTCACGGGGTTAATAAGCATGATGATTCTGCCTAGTAAATATATAGAAAAGAACTTCCTTTGAACATCATAGTGTCTATAACGTGAGAATTATATACTCAGCGAATCTAATTACAAGAGCAAGTTATTCCTGTTTATACCTACAGTGAAATCTCTGTAGCTGAGATTAATTTCCTTATGGAATCGAGATCTTGGGTTTTAACAAAGAAGTTAAGTGAAGAATTATTTAGGAGTCTATGGAAAAAAAGAAAAAGAATCAATACATGAAGAAGAAGAAGTTAAGTGAAGAATTATTTAGGAGTCTATGGAAAGAAGAAGAAGAAGAATCAATAAATGGAATCGAGATCTTGGGTTTTAATTCTTTTTTTTTGTTAAGCTAATTTTTTTTTTTCTTTTTGTTGTAATACTTTTTATTAACTAATGCTATGTGGAAATTTAATCGGTTTAGAGAAGAAGAGTGAATTATATACCATTCACCTTAGGAGTGAAGGTAAATTTTGTTCTTTATTTTTAGTGGTTTCAGTATATAAACTACCACCATCACCAAAAAGTCCATTAGTCCTAAGATAAGGCAGAACCAACACTTTTTGCAGTAACAACTATTTAAACATATAAAATTTGAAAATGTAACATAAATGCATAAGTATTATATTCTTTTTTTAGGAATTATATTTAACAATTTATATAGATTCATCAATGTCTCTGGTTCATCTCGATATTCTACTGTTTACAAATTGTCCCAAGATCAGAAACATGCTATACCCCCATGGACGATACTCGTGCTTACGAATAAGCATGCACAATGCACACGAGATCACTTCTTAATAAATGCCTTCAAATTCTTTTGTTTAAACTAATGTGATACTTTTTTCCCGATGAAAATGTTGTTTTCCATCAACCTCGTTGATTTTGAAAAACTCGGGATCCTTTTAAACAAGAATGAAAACGAAATATCACACCTTCATTATTGCCATCACATCATCACTTAGATCATTTCCAATGTATTACTCCGTATTTTACTTTAAAATGGTGCAACTCCAAAATGAAATAATTTTTTTACTCCAATGTATTATTCCATTTTTTATTCCAAAAATAATTAATAATTGTTAATAATACCTTATATTTATAAAAGTTTACCAATTAACCCCTACTATTTTATGTTTATAAAAATAGATTAAAATATAATTTATTTAAATTAAACATTATTTTTAAAAGTACAAGAAATCAGAAAAATAAAATAGAACACAATATAAGCTGATTCAATAATGAGCATTAGAATATTTTTCCAACAATGATCAACTAATGCATTTCGTAATGAAAAATGAGTTTTGGACAATATTTCACTGGTCTTAACGGATCCGGAAGCGATTTGTTTAAATCTCTTATTTTATGTTATTTTTATTTAATATTATTTATGTTTTTAATTATGTTATGTATTTTTGTGTTAAATTATTAAATAATGAAATATCTTGTTTTTCATGTTCTTGTATTTTTAAAAAATATTATTTAAGTAAGAAATAAAAATATTAGAGAGTTAAAGGACTATTTCATAAATAAAAAAAAATTCAACTCCAAAATGGAGTAATGTGTAAGATTACTCTGTAAATGGAGTAACCCTAGCCATTACTCCATTTTGAAGTTGAAAATCGAGTGGAGTTGGAGAGGATTTTACTCCAAAATAATGTTTGGAGAAGAAAATGGAGTAGGGTTAGAGATGCCATTAGTTCCTTACTTAAAATACAAACTGTTACTATATAAATCCTATAGACAAAAAGTACATAAATCCTAAAACAATCGTTAATAACATAAGCGATCAAGTTACAAAGTAAAATACATATACAAGAGATGCACTTTTTCATTTCTGTTATTAGTTTCCTTTTCACCATCCGCATATACAGCTATTTATGGTTGTTGATGTTTTGATACAATCATATCTAATATATTAAAAGAGAAGTCACAACTTCTTTTCATGTGTGATTTTTTAAAATTTGGACCTATTCCTAGAAAATATCAAATTTTACATAAGTTAATTATTATATCTTCTAATATCTTTATATTTTTAAAGGCCCATCATTTTATTTGAAAATATAAATCAATATATAAAATGTTCTAACAAAATCTTTTAAAAATCTCTTTAGAATCTTTTTAAATTTACTTTAAAATTAGTTAATTTTACTTTAAATTATCATAAAATATAATTAGAAATTAAAATTGAATTTAGTTTTGGCTTATAAACGAATATTAAAAAATAAATATTTTAATCATATTCACTCATAATAAAAATCTTATATATTAAAAGAGAAGTCACAACTTCTTTTCATGTGTGATTTTTAAAAATTTGGACATATTCCTAAAAAATATCAAATTTTACATAAGTTCATTATTATATCTTCTAATATCTTTATATTTTTAGAGGCCCATCATTTTATTTGAAATACAAATGAATATATAAAATGTTCTAACAAAATCTTTTAAAAATGTCTCCAGAATCTTTTTAAATTTACTTTTAAAATTAGTTAATTTTACTTTAAATTATCATGAAATATAATTAGAAATTAAAATTGAATTTATTTTTGGTTTAAAAACAAATATTAAAAATTAAATATTTTAATCATATTCACTCATAATAAAAAATGAAATTGATTAATTTAAAAATAAATTTTACTAATATTTTTAAAATATTTGTTGCAAATAAATATTTATTTTATTTTAATTGTTTTAAATATATATTCTATTAAAATAAAATTCATGATTTCTTTATGTGTGATATTTTTATTTAGACCATCATTTAATTTTTTATTAAATGTATATCCTTAATGTTAATAATATAAATATTTTTAACTACTTTAATCATAATATCTTTTGATATTTTGAATTTAAGTATATATATAAAAATTCTAGAAAACCTGTTGAAAACAATTAAAACAAGATCTTAATTGCCAAAAATTGAACATAAATATTTTCACTAATTTCATAATTAGTCATGAAATTTATTATATATATATTCAGCTATATTTTATCAAATGAAAATAATAAAATTATATCATATTTTATCTATTTATCTATTTTCTAATAATATCTATCATTTTAGAAGAAAACCATTATATTGAATTAAATATGATAAAGTTTTTTGAAATTTACATGTTAATATATTTATGTTAATAAATATAAAATATATAATATGTTCATAGAACAGGTTAACATTCGTAAACTATATAATTCATGTATAAAAGTCAATTTATCTAAACTTTTCATATTCAGTAATTTATTATAGAAAATGAATAAATACAAAACAATTGATAATCTAGCGTTTTAAATTACGAGTTATGATCATAATAAATTATATACAAAATAATTTTCAAATATATTGGTTCACACATAAGAAATTGTTTTAATAATCAAATTAAACTTATATATGTGATGATTTGAATTTACAGCATAAAAACCAATAAAGTTTTTGTATTTAAAATAATTATACAAACATTTAAATATGTGAGTAACATTAAAAAAATCCGTAAACCAAATATTTATATATAAACATGAAAATATATACCCGCACGGTTGTGCGGGTCGAAATCTAGTCTATTATATTAAAAGAGAAGTCATGACTCATTTCATGTATGATATTTTAATTTGGACCATCCTTAGAATTTTATAAAATTTTACATAACTTTATAATATTTTTTCATATCTTTAATTTTTGTTTGAAATACAAATAAATAGTTTTAAGAAAATTCTAACAAAATCTTTTAGAATCTTTTCAAGATATAGTTTCAAAAATTATTTGATTAAAATTTTAAATTATCATAAAATATAATTAAATTTTTAATTCATTTTAAATTTATAAATAAAAATTAAAATTATGTAAAATACTTTTAACAATATCCCAAAACTTTGTTTATGTATTATATAGGTCTAACTTAATTTAATTTTTACATATATTTTGAATTTAGAAATGAAACAAAATATATAAATTAGTAATGTTACATAATAATGTTTTTAAAAATTGTTAAAAAAATACAAATTTATAAATTTGATATTAATAATATTATAAGTCACATAAAAATTATTATAAAATTTGATAACATATATGATAAAATTATATTTATTTATTGATAAATTTTATTATATAATTTCAAATATTTTCGTATTAATATATCCGCACAGTTGTGCGGGTCGAAATCTAGTAAAACATTATAAACTGCTTTAAATGGTTCTGAACCTTTAAAATTTAAAAAATGGTTTTAGCTAACGTTTGCGATTTTAGATAGTTGTGGAAAGAAAAATAAAATCATTTTTTTCAAAAAACCATATAAATATAAAAATAAAATATTCAATTAAAATTTTAAATTAAAATAATAGAAATACCAAAATATATACATTATAATTTAGTTTATCTTATAAAACTTCAAAACAAAAATATTTTCTATAAATTTTAATAGTATAGTTATATCAATATAATTTTTAAAATTATTATACAAATATGATTTTAATATTTTTATAATTATATAAAATGTAAATATTGTTAATTTATTATTTAACCACTATTGTATTCAGTACTTAACCAATATTCTGCCAATACAAGTCGTATAAATCTTTTATTATCTGATTGTTGTCTCTGTGATGAGTTCGTGTAATAAGGTGAAGAGTAAAAAACTACAAATCAAGTAATATAAGGGTGATTTTTGAATCAGATGAAAGTAGAGGCCATTTGAGAATAATACAGAATTTAAAGGGTTAAACTCTTAAATTTGTCAAAATAGTTGGTTGGAAATTGGAACCAAAACAAACAAGTTACTGGGATACCGTGAGAAATGCACCACCGACATCTGGTCCGGATCCCTTAAAACGCCGTCGTTTACGGTTTTGGACCATTCACACTTAATTCTTTCTAGCTCTGTTTCTATTTCTTCCTCTTCCACACTAATCACCGCCATTGTTGCAACTGCTACACTTCCACTCTGATTCGTTCGATCGAGAGCTTTTCGTGTTGTAAGCAGGGATGGCGCGTCGTTCAGGAGACTGCATGAAATGTCTGGTGATCTTCGCGGTTGTATCAGCTTTAGTAGTGTGTGGACCTGCTCTGTATTGGAAATTCAACAAAGGTTTCGTTGGATCTACTCGTAGAAACTCTGTTTGTCCTCCTTGTACATGTGATTGCCCACCTCCTGTCTCTCTCCTCGAGATTGCTCCTGGTATATATAACCACCATCTCCTTTCTATCTCCCTTTCTCGTTTTTGACTGGATCTAGATGATCCATTGGATTCGTGATGGCAAGATAAAGTTAGTTCCTTTTAGTGTAACGATTAGAACTTTGAGGTGCCCTGGATCTAAGTGTTCCGTTGGATTCATGATGGCAAGTTTTTGTGTTCACATCCTCTTGCGGAAAGTTGGTTCCTTTTAGAGTAAAGATCAGAACTTTCAGCTGCCCTTGATCTGGTTTCAATATTGGATCTTTGAATCAAAGCTGCTTCTTTTGGGTTTTAATCTTTTATGTTGTCTTAAGCATTAAGAACGAATCTCAGCTTGTAGATAGTTTAACAAGTTTTTGTTTTGTTTTCAGGGCTTGCAAATCTCTCTGTTACAGGTTAGATCTCCATCCTGAGCTTGATTATGTTTTAGCTGCTATGCGTATAATATATATCTGTCAAGTTACAAAAATGGCTTGATTGTTATTGAGGAGCCTTCATAATTGTTTAGGGAAATAATTTGAAGAAGTGAAGTTTTGATGATCAGTAGCCATTAGTTCTCCCAAATGAGTTTTGGTTTCAGAATAGGCTAACACTCTGATAGTTATCTGTGATCATATTCGGACAAGTTATCTTTTTGCATGACGTTTTACTGATACATAACAAATAATTATAGCACTTGTATTTCCTGTGAAGACTATGTTCCTTCTCTGACTTGTGTTGTGAACAGATTGTGGAGGTGATGATCCAGATCTCAAACAGGAAATGGAGAAGCAGTTTGTGGACCTTCTGACCGAGGAGCTGAAGCTTCAAGAAGCAGTTGCAGATGAACATAGCCGTCACATGAACGTTACCCTCGCAGAAGCTAAGAGAGTTGCGTCTCAGTACCAAAAGGAAGCTGAGAAATGCAACGCTGCCACCGAGATTTGTGAGTCAGCTAGGGAGAGAGCCGAAGCTTTGTTGATCAAGGAGAGGAAGATCACTGCTCTGTGGGAGAAGCGAGCTCGGCAATCAGGGTGGGAAGGTGAGTAAACCAATTGCACTTCGCATGTCTACCTTGAAGTTTCTCTCTCTGAGAACACACAACTTAGCTCAAGAAAAGGAAACTGTTGAATTGTCAAGGAAAAATCCTATCTTCCATGTTTCCTCCATATATGTAGTCTTTTGTTTTGCCTCTGGTTCAGAATGTAGCTAAAGACAGCCTTGGCTTTGTATTGACTTTCTTTATATACATAATTATAATTGTCCATTTCACACTTCTCTGGTTATTTAAAAAGTTGATTCTGTATTTTATGTTTCAAGAACTCTAAAAGATTATGGAAGGTTTTTGTGAAAGTAACTCCATGTGCTGTACTTATTTGTCTCGACTAGGAACAGTGGATAAGCTTGAGAAACATGCTGATTACATCTTTTCTCTGTTACCTCTCCCACAAGCAATGATGTTTTACAGTTCCCCGAACTTAGTCTTACAATACATGTTTTTACAGCAATATCCAAGAACAGAGCTACATTCTACAGTAAATACATCCCTAGATGATCTCTCTTCCGCCACTGTCTGTGAATATCCAAGAACAGAGCTACATTTCCTCGGTGTTTAGCATTGTTTCTTTATCACACTGAGGAAATGACTCTGCACAAGGTTTTGAGACTGAAGAGATTCCATTGAGCATTTCCTGAATGTTTTGAGTTGAAAAGCACATGCAATGCAAAGGAAGGAAACTACCAAATGTCTTCTGATTCTGCTACTAGCCTCCAGAAACCCCCCCCATTCTACCTTTTCCGAAGTCTCAAGCACCGATTATGCTTAGTTTCAGTGATACTAGGCTCGTTGGGCAGTTGTTTGGATGGTGGATTGGTTAAAGAGAGTTTCTCCATTGCGTTTATGAACTTGCGCAGGTGCTGAATGTATTCAGGATAAGTCTCTAGGTTGCAATGCCCTCCTCCTTTCACCCATAACGGATCATACTTCTCCTTGGCCAGTTCCCACAACCTCTTCCCATGAGACAAATCCACAATCTCATCATTTGTTCCCTGCACGAATATCACAAAACCAATCAACAGAATGAAGTGAAGACAGACTCTAAAACTTGATAGAGCTTTACATACATGTATGACAAGAACTTGAGAGCTGACATGGCGTATCTTGTCTATATTCTGCAGTAAAGACATTCAGAACCAACACATTAAGACAAGACAGAACGATAGTATGAAGCAAACCTCTTTGTGTGCGTGTGTGTTTTACTTACTTTGTAAATATCAAACCATAGTGTCATTTTGACAGGATATAGGACTCTAATGCCAGAGAGAATGGCGCTGTGAAGAACAACTCCTCTCAGCCTCTTCAACCTTGAAGCCATGTGCAGCGTTGGCCCGCTTCCTACAGACTGTCCATACAGAATCACCTCCTCTTGTTTGATACCATAATCACTTCTCAAGCAATTGTACACTGCCTCAATGTCATGATATGTGTTGAACTCAGACGGCTATATCATCAGAACCAAAAAAACATATGAAAATCACATTAAAATTTTGAAATATAAATGATTTCTCTTTGCTTTTTTTTTTTTACCTTTCCTGTGGAAGCTCCATAGCCTGAATAGTCATAACTATTTCAATGACATGAGAAAAAAACAAACACAAAAAAAAAAATTAAATGCAAGAATCTAACAACAACAACATTAGGAGGTTTTAGATTTATAATGTGTATTATTACATATATACCTCATGATGTTAACGCGGAGATGAGCACGTAGCTCGATGAAGAGCTCAACCATTTGGCCAAGATCAGCTGCATTGCCATGGGAATAGAGAAGCGTGAATCTAGCAAAAGGGTGTCTCCAGAACGTGGCCACAACTTTGTTGCCTGACTTTGTGGTGAGCTGATGGACTTCCATGCTCATGTCTGGAGAGACTCCTGAGAAGACCAGCATCCCTGTCTCTTCATCATTCGTTACGCGGTATGTAGCCGGCTCAGGTGGGAAGAAGGCCAACTTGGCCGCCACATTTGATGTTACATTACCCATCTAAACAAACACAAATCCCACAAGAAAATAAAGACAAATTTCAATGAAGAGAAGGAGAAAGAACACAAGCCCCAAAACCTCCCTCTCTCTCTATCTCTTGTCTAAGAAAAGAAGACAAAAATGATTTTGTTATTTGTTTTTGTTTTGGTGGGATTGTGTTAACTTGTTGAGATAAGGTGGTGGAGGGGGGAGAGGGATAGGATCCGATCTTGGAGGAGGAAAGAAGAAGATGAGCTGTGTTCTCTTATATATATCAAACTAACTTCTTATATATATCTCAACAAGTTTTTGTAGAAACATAGTCAATTATGCATTTTAATCTTTATTTCTTAGCATGTAACAATAGTTATGACACAGAATATTCAAACATCGTGCATGGTTTAATAATTATGATGGCGTAATAAAAGAAATTCTAGTCAAAAATTAAACTTCTATTTATGTAACTTAAAGATTGCGTCAGCCTTTTTAAATTGCCAGGTAGATTGAAGGGCTACGATTTGGTCAAAGGCTTGCAAGTGATGGTCGTCAATAGAACTGCTGTCAGAGTAGTCAGACATTCCTCTCTATTTTTTTTTCTTCTTATTTTGTCACATTTTCACTTTACAATTTTTTGTCGCATTCGTTTTTTTTAAGAGCAGTAGAAAACGAAGGAGACATTTCTTGTTTGGACAAGTATGCTTTTAATTTCTGACAACACTGTTCTGTGTGCTTTTTGGACTTTGTCTGCTTCAGATTTTGACCACAAACTTATTAGCAAATGGTGTATACTAAGACCATCTTTATCCCAAATACCCACTTAGATTTTTAATTTATTTATTTTTTTCATTTTTGTCTAATTAAAAAAAAATTAAAAGAACCAATTGCGGGCCGTCACGTGTTAATGGGGCCCGTGAACAGTTGAAAAACCCCAAAGCAAACGTTTCTTCTTTGGCAACATTGGCTTCTGGTTTTTTGATATAATGTCCCCTTCCACCTCTAAAATCCCATTAAAGACTGGGATAATGGTGCTAAGAGCATGTGCATCGCGACGGAAAAAGGGAGCGCTTAAGAAAAAAGGTGCGGGAGAGAGACCTACCAGCCCCATGTAAACCACTTTCGGAGGACCCACATAAAACAAGAAGTCGACGTTTTGTTGCTCAGATAAGCGCCAGATTCTCGTGAGTTCTTGGCCAATTCTGCGGGCCCCACGACACGTGGTGACCCGCGATTGGTTACTCTTAATTTTTTTTTTTTTTTTTTTAATCTGGAAAAAAAAAAACGGAAATTTTAAGCGTTTTTTTAAGAACTGCGCGATACACGTGCTCTAATGATAGAATTAGATTATACAAAATGATGATTGTTATAGGTTCTAATTTGTAATTGCCGCTTGGAATCCGCCATATTAAGTTGGGGGCTTTTAGGGCATGGGTATTGGTGGGATTGGGAAAAGTCCCTTAACTTTTGATTTTTTTTTTTTCTTTTGGGTCAGTTTTAACTAAGGGATATCCTTATTGTCCCTTAGCTAATGGATTTTTCTTCTCCTTTCTCTTCGGTTTCCGTGTTTTTTTTCTAAGGGATATCTTAAGGGACTACTAATACCCATGTCCTTATAGAAGGTTCGTAGTAGATGACTTTTTATGAAAAGGAAGCTAACTGATCCTAAGAGCATCTTCATCACTGATTTCAATGGGCACGATTCCCTAAATCATTTTTATTCCACTTTTTCAGAAAAATAGATAAAAAACAATAATATAATAAATCAACAAGGACATGTCACGTGGCGAAACAGTGACGATCCGGTATCACCATAGCAAGTTCACGCGACACAGGTTTAAGGAAATCAGATTATTTTAATATTTTATTTTGAAAACTGTGTGGAATTTTATTATGAACCCTCAATGGACATGGTCTAAGAAGTCTAGTAAAGTAAGAGAGAATTAGGCAAAGGCCCAAAATCGAAGTCTATATTAGGCGATTACCCATGATGGGACACAAGAGTAAAGTTTTACACAATTTAGGCTTGTTCAGACGATTTTGCCCTTCTCACCTTCTCTTTCCAATGTGAAATATCCGACATCTCTTTCTCCAATGATTTTTCATTCTTTCTTACATTCATTTTATTTAAACCACACATATTTTTTACATAATTCTTTTTCACATTCATTTCTTTCTTTTTTTCTTGATTTTTGTTTCTCCTCTACAATTTTATTTGTAAATGATTTTTAAATTTACTCATTTTGATAGAGAAATGAAACTTCAACAATATTTATTTGTTAACATATAATACCTAACGCATGTATTGACATCTACAAAATTTATTAACAATTAACATCTCTGTTAGCACTTGTAATACATGTCTTTGTTAACAGCTAACACATCTGTTAACATTTACAAAATTTGTTAAGAGTTAATGCCTCTGTTAATACATCCGGTACATGTATTTGTTAACAGTTAACACTTTTGTTGACATCTACATTATTTGTTAACAGCTAACATAAGTGTTAACATCTCGGCGATGTTTAAAAAAACTTAAATGCTGATTTTTTCAGAATGTGGTGAAATTAAAATAATTTAGATTCTAAAGAATAGTAGTAAAATTGTAATAAATTTTTTCGCAACAATAAATTTTTACAAAAAAAAAAGGAATTAACATGATAAGAGAGTTTGAGAATGAGGAAGAAGAGGAATCAAAGGAAAGAGAGTATCATGAGAGAGAGTGTGTTAGGAGAGAGATAGTCATATGCATGTAAAGGAAGGGCAATTTCGTCATATAAAAAGGATCAGTCCCATCATGGACATTTGCCTAATATTAATTCCCAAAAGGGTGTGGGAACAAATAATCTCGTAAAGTAATGGTGAATATGCTACACCTAGTAACAAAACGTTAGTTGGTGACAAAAAAAAAATGTAACAAACCATTATTCTTAGATTCTTAGAGCATTTCCAATCCAACTTCGAATCTTCAAATTTTGAGGTTTTTGTCATTCCAACAGAACCTCAAATCTTCAAATTTTGAGGTTTTGAATAGTGACACCTCATATTTGAAGTTTCACTGTTCAAAACCTTAAAACTACTATTCATTGTTTTTTAGTCCTTATAATTATTCTGTTTTACAAATACACTAGATGATGACCCGCGCCCTGCGCGGGGTAAGTGACGGAAAGAGTTTATAACTATAATGTGTAAGATAATATAATATAAATTTATTTTTTTATAAGAACAAAGTTTGTGTATTGGATAAGTCCATTGATTGAAGTGTTTACATGGGAAAAAAAATTAAGAGTAAGGAAAGACATTTTTTAATTTATTAAAGAATTTATGAAAAATAAAACATAAAAATATAATTATTCATTTCATAACTAAAGTAAAATATGATGATAATAATAAAAGATACAATTGTAATAGATTATTTGGATATGATATAGTTTGATTTAGTAAAACTAACATATATTTATAAAATTTAATATAACAAAAAGTGAAATAAGATAGAAAGGTTAATCAAAATATTAAAAATTTCACTATCTTATCTTGAAAGATGCATATAAAATGAAACATATACTATAATAATCAGGTGATAATCCTCGCCCTGCACGGAGTAAATGAATTAAAAAAATTATTATCTAATATCTATAGATATTAAAATTCAAATGGCAAAATATTAAATATAATGAAATAGATGCATTTTTTATATAATATAATCTTGTTTTTTTTGAAAAAAAAATTGTGTAATTGGAAAATTGCATTGAAGTTTGTTATATGAAAAAAAAATTATAAGATTAAGCAAAAACTTCTTTAAATTTAGTATGAATTTAAGAAAAAAAATCATAGGTTTGAATAATTATTTAATTTATAATAGAATTATGATGATATAATTAAACCAACATAGGTAATAGAAAAGTTTTCCTTTATATTATGGGCTTATATCAAGATATATGATATTACAATTTGAACTATAAAGAAATAAATAGCGTTGATAGATTCCAAAAATCAATGCTTCCTAATTTGAAACTATATTATATATTGTATAAAATTAACTATGTTACATATATATCGTTTATCAGCTTGGAATAATAACGATTTGTTATAAAGAAAAGAAATATGGATTAATATAAAAGTAATCTAAAATAAGTAAAAATAATTTATTAAAATCAATTAAATCGATTAATTTGTTATAAGGAATGAAACGATAAATATAAAAGTAGTCTAAAATAAGTAAAAATAATTTCTTGAAATTGATTATTATATGTCAATGATCAGAACTTCTTTTTTTTTTAAATTTTATATTCAATTACACAATTAAATAAAACTTGAAATATAAGGAAAGAAATAATGTTGATTGATTCTAAAAATCAACAAATGAATATATTATAATCAATAATCAATGCTTCCCAATTTGAAACTATGTATTATATATTAGATAAAATAACTATGTTACATATGTATTGTTTATTGGGTTGGGTTAAATGGAATAATAACGATTTGTTATAAATGAAAGCAGTATCGATTAATATAAAAATAGTCTAAAATAAGTAAAAATAATTTCTTGAAATCAATTAAATCGATTAATTTGTAATAAGGAATAAAATGATAAATATAAAAGTATGAATTTAAGAAGAAAAAACGCAATAATAATGATTATCATCTTTGCTTAAATTCATACAAAATTTAGGTGATAACCCGCATCATGTGCGGGATGANGAATAAAATGATAAATATAAAAGTATGAATTTAAGAAGAAAAAACGCAATAATAATGATTATCATCTTTGCTTAAATTCATACAAAATTTAGGTGATAACCCGCATCATGTGCGGGATGAAATAAAAATTTAATCACTTATTATATATTTACACATTTTTAAGTTAGAAAGTATAAACACAGAATATAATTGATGAAAACATATAGAATAGAAACTAATATGTTTTTTTTCAAGATTGTAATGATAAAATAGATTTGCTTCAATATTACATATATATTTTTATAACTGTGTAATATTTTTGTTTTTAACTGTTAATTATATATAATTGTTTAAATATTAATTTTACTGAAAACTAATAACAATAATAGATATTTTATTGCTTTATTTTTCTTAATATCAGATCCGACATATAAAGTAGATATTTTTTAACATATCCCTTCCAATCAATGGACTTTGTTTTAGTTAAGCAGATAGTAATTTGTATAATTAAATATTCAAATGTTAGTCAATAAAGTTTCCTTTTTTATATTAACTCATAGTTAGTTAAGTATTTCAGAAAGTTTTCTTGTATTATTACAATTAGATATGAAAAACAACAAACCAAACGTAAGAGGCTGTCAAGGTGAATGGTCTAATAGGTATTACTTATTTTTAATTTAAAGGTATAAAAATATAAATTCAGTCATAAATATTATATATTATGTAGTGAAAATGTAAAGAAATTGTATATGTTTGTATAAAATAAGCTCTAAATATCTTATATTTTTAAATTTGTGTTCATTAGGTGTAGTTAAAATATAGTTGCTATGGAAACATATTTATAAGCGTAAACAAAAATTNAAATCAACATAGGTAATAGAAATTTTTTTCTATATATATATGGGCTTATATCAAACTATATGATATATACGATTTGAAATATAAAAAATAATAATAATGTTGATTGATTCCAAAAATCAACAAATCAATTAATGATCATGCTTCCTAATTTGAAACTATATTATATATTGGATAAAATTAACTATGTTACATATGTATCATTTATCAACTTCAGTTAAATGGAATAATAACGATTTGTTATAAAGGAAAACAATCTAGATTAATATAAAAGTAACTTAAATAAGTAAAAATAATTTCTTAAAATCACTTAAATCGATTAGTTTCTTATAAAGAATAAATATAAAAGTAGTCTAAAATAAGTAAAAATAATTTATTGAAATTGATTATTATATGCCAATGATCAAAACTTCTTTTTTAATTTTATATTCAATTAAATACGGTATAAGAAAATTAATAATGTTGATTGATTCTAAAAATTAACAAATCAATATATAATAATCAATAATCAATGCTTCCTAATTTGAAACTATGTATTATATATTGGATAAAATTAACTATGTTACATATCTATTGTTTATTGGCTTGGGTTAAATAGAACAATAAAGATTTGTTATAAATGAAAGAAATATCGATTAATATAAAAATAGTCTATAATAGTAAAAATAATCTCTTGAAATCAATTAAATCGATTAATTTGTTATAAGGAATAAAACGATAAATATTAGTAGTATAAAATAAGTAAAATATAATTTCTTGAAATCTATTGTTATAACCAATGATCAGAATTTCTTATTTTTAATTTTATATTCAAATACACAATTAAATAAGACATAAAATATAAGGAAAGAAATAATGTTGATTGATTCAAAAAAATCAACAAAATCAATAAATAATAATCTGTACGACATGAAATATAAGGAAAGAAATAATGTTGATTGATTCCAAAAATAAATAAATCAACAAATAGTAATCAATAATCAATGCTTCCTAATTTAAAACTATGTATTATACATTGAATAAAATTAGTTATGTTACATACAAATGTTAAACATAAGAGATGTGAACAATGGCACATCTTGTAATTATTCTAGTAAACTAAGGATATTTAACTAAAGGAGGTGAGAGGGTTTGTGGAGCTGCCACCTAAGAAATTGCATGTGTGTAATAAACACATGAAGTAAATGTTATTCTTTAAAAATGCTCCTCAAATAATAGTAAAGGGATCTACTAACTCTATGTAGAGTAACTTAAATACACCAAAATAAAATAAAATATAATAAATCATACATAACATTCAAAGTAAATTCACACAAAATTAAAAATCCGTCTTTTAATTTTTAACTAAAAACATAAGAGCTGGCTCTTAAATATTTTATTTAAGAACCAGTTTTTAGTGTTTTAGTTAAAAGTTAAAATAAGATTTCTTAATTTCGTTAAGAACCTCTACCTTAAGAACCTTACAATAAACATGTTCTAAGCCGATTCCGAACCCGATAGTCAATTTGATAGAACCGAATCAACATGAATCATAGTAAAGGCAGATTCCAGATTTCAGATGTATTTGTTTTTATTCTTCTAAAATTAGTTGGACCAGATATGGATATATATTTTTAATGCCCAAATTTATGTTTGGTAAATATAAATGGATATGGTATTACCCATGGCTTTTCTACGATACCAAATGTAGTGTTTTTACTCTTCATTTGCATTCACCTAAAAACCACAATCAAGTTTTCAACAAAAAGTACAAAATCATGTTTTTCAAACTGGAGAATAAGATTATACTGTCAAAACTATAGTTCTCTTTAAAACCCTAAAATTACATTTGCTCACCAAACCGTAAAAATAAGTTTTTTTTTTACCAAAATCATAAAAATATTTTTTTAGCTGAAATCATAAAATTAAGTTTTCAGAAAAACCAAAAATTATGTTTTCTGTCGAAACTGTAAAATGATGTTTTCTCATCAAAAACTGCAAGAACACCCTTTTTTTTCCACCAAAACCGAAAATTTGAGTTTTTTTTTCATTGAATTTGCCAAGCAAAATTGTGTTTCAAATTGTAAAAGATTGTCGAGCCAGAATTGCAAAAAAATGTTCTAAGCAGAAAAATTAAGCGATAGATAATGCCACTCGCTTTTGAAATGGTTAAAAGTTTTTAACAACAACTCTAACTGGTGTTTCAAAAAAAGGCAACGTTACTTAATATCAAACATGTTACAACTCTGAGTGTTATGGAGTCGTTGAATCGAGCCGAAACACTACTCTCTGGTCTCCATCACCACCCTCGTACTAACACCAACAGAAACAGAGTTCCCAGATCTGTCAAGATCTTAAACACATCCAATCATCAAAACCCAAGAAAGTAAAGTTTCCATCTTTTCTACTCACTCCTTTTTTCTTTTCTCTGAAGCATTTTCACGAACACCTTCTGTGCAATCACCATTATAAAACCTCTTTGTCAGGTGTCAATGTTTCGATCTCTACGACCAATTGGTTCCATACAAGAAAGCTTGGACATGGCAGAAAACCATTCTCGAGGAGAAGAAGTCATTGATTGACAGAAACCAAGACTGTCCAGACACTGTGATTTTATTACAACACTCTCCTGTGTACACAATGGGCACTGGCAGCTCAGAGGAGTATCTCAATTTCGACGTAAAAGACGCTCCTTTCGATGTGTATCGAACTGAACGTGGTGGTGAAGTCACTTACCATGGCCCTGGTCAGGTATCTAATACACTTTTTAACTTTGTCTTCCTTTTTTTTGAAGCTAAAGAAAAGAATGTGATTGTTTTGAACAATGTAGCTAGTTATGTATCCTATAATCAACCTTAGAAACCACGAGATGGATCTTCATTGGTACCTCAGGAGGCTTGAAGAGGTTGTCATCCGTGTTCTTTCCTCAGCTTTCTCCATCAAAGCTTCACGTCTTGATGGTTTCACTGGTGTTTGGGTTGGTATGTCTCAATATCTCTACATTGTATTTTTAGATGTGTTAGTGTATTTTGATCTGTTTTGGTTTGTTAATGTTGTTTAGGCAACCAAAAAGTGGCGGCCATTGGTATCCGTGTGTCGAGATGGATAACGTATCATGGTCTGGCTCTTAATGTCACAACGGATTTAGCACCGTTTAACTCTATAGTTCCATGTGGGATTAGAGATAGGCAAGTTGGGAGTGTAAAGGGTTTGCTTGGAGATGGAAAACAAGGAAAGGTTGGTGATCTGAGGTTGATAGATGTAGCTCATGAGTCTTTACTTAAGGAGTTCTCTGAAGTTTTCCAGCTTCAACTCGAGAAGCAAACAGTTTCAGAATCTGTGGTGGTTCTTACAAGTGTCCCAACTTAAAAAAAAAAACGGTCACTAGATTTGTAACAACCCGTAGGTTCTTCCCCCTCCCTTTTTTACTTTCTTTCTGCAGTGTATCTATCTCTTAAGAAACGTATGCTTTGACAAAGTAAATTGTCTTTTACTTTTTGTCAGTCGACTCCTCGGATAGAATTCTTTACTATCCTGGCACTACAGCAGTTTCTTCCATGACACGTGGTGTTGACAAACATGGCGTGCCTCTCCTTATCATCTCCACCTGCTCCATAGTTTCAACGCAAATGGTCTCCAGACTATATACTTGTGCATAAACCTGTTAAAACACTAATCTGGAAGATTTGCTTCTTTTATGGTCATGATGCCACCCTCTACTCCTAAGTCTCCTCTTCTTAGCTCGTCACTTGAAGAAGATAAAAGATTTAAATGCTACAGGGGTGTCCGAAAGAGGTCCTGGGGAAAGTGGGTGTCTGAAATAAGAGTTCCAAAGACGGGAAGACGAATATGGCTAGGTTCATATGATGCTCCAGAGAAAGCAGCTCGAGCCTATGACGCTGCTTTGTTTTGCATCAGGGGTGACAAGGGAGTTTTCAATTTTCCCAATGATGAAAAGCCTCAGCTTCCTGAAGGTTCTGTCCGGCCTCTGTCCAAGCATGACATACAGACAATAGCAGCAGATTATGCGTTATCGGTTGCGTTTGTGCCTTCTTCCCCTACCACCACAACCCAGGCAACAGATCAGGTTCATGCTTCTCCTGATGCATTTGTTTCTACTGAGATTATGGAGATGGATAATGAGCATTATTATCTCCCAGTGGACGCAACTGAAGAATCAATATACTCGGTAGAAGACTTACAGCTGGACAATTCCTTTATGATGGACATTGACTGGATAAACAATCTAGATTAATGCTTGCAGTCACTTTTTAGGTGTGAATATGGTTTAACTACTAGTTACCTGTGTCCATTTAGATGCTTATTTGTGGCGGTATACTTGCACCATTGTATTTGTTGATATGGTGCAGTTTGTTGGTCTTGTTTTGCAATGTGTGTGCTCTTTTTTTTTTGTCTCTATACTGGACTGTATGCATGTTAAGCATGAATGATATGATTACCTAAATTTTCTGTTGCATGTTTTCAATATCGTTCCCACATGGGTGCTAGTAGTCCCCCAGCAAGAATATAGAGAAGTAGCACTGATCATAAACTAATTAGATGATCATGTTGGCAAGTCCTCACAGTAAAGAATAAGCATGATTATATGAATATGATCTATGGCCATGCGACATTTACACAGCGGAATCAGAATCAGGATCTTTGGCCATGATCCTTCAAGTCAAGGCTAAAACATCTCATAGAGATGTGTAAGGTATAATAGTAAGAAATTTAAATAGAACATCAACAAGCACCCATGGCCTAATGGATAAGGCGCTTGACTTCTAATCAAGCGATTGTGGGTTCGAGTCCCACTGGGTGTGTCAATTTCTGACAAAATTATATTTTTAATCGGTAGTATATTTTTTATAAACCGAATTTATGATCCATATGTAAATTTTGTGGCATTGTGCTTACATTAGACCAAAATCAGAAACATTAGCTAAAAAGAAATAATGAAGGTTGGATGGAAACTAAATTGGAAACCCAATAGAGTTTGGAAGAGAAAGAATGGGCCTATTACTCGAGGTTTTCTGATACAGAAGCACGTGGGGGATCACGTGCATGGATGTCGACGTGGCTTTACCGGTGGATCTCGTGTTCCTACACCTCTTCGAGTTATTTAAAAATTCCATCGTCTCTTAGGTAATAATACGATATGGCGTCGCAGGAGCAGGAAGGAGCGGTGGCTGAGACACGTGATCATAATGATTCCCCCGTTGCCGCAACCGCAACCTCCGATAGCGTGAAGAAGACGAAAGGAAATGGATTCTTCTCGCGTATTTGGAACGCAATGTTTGGAGAGAAAGGAGACGATTTCGAGAAGAGGCTTGAATACATCTCAAAGGAAGAAGCAAACGTTCTATCAAGGATCAAACGTAGATCGATTACGTGGAGGAAACTCTCTAGAAACCTCATCCTTTCCTCCCTCATCTTTGAGGTCAACAATATCGTTTTTTTTTTAAATTTGAAATTTGAATTTTTGATGTTTGAGTTAGTGTTTTGGTGAAAAGTATGCTCATTTAGCCTTGGTGAATAAAAAGATGAAACATTTATGTATAGATCATTTGCATATTCATCATTTAGCTCTCAATCCCTTAGTTGCTAAATTTGAATTTGAATTTGAATTTTTGATGTTGAGTTAGTGTTTTGGTGAAAAGTTTGTTTATTTTAGCTTTGATGAGACATTCTCTTTGCATATTCATCATTAGTTGCTAAAAATGCTTCTTTTCAGATACTTGCAGTGGGTTATGCGATCATGGCAACCAGAACTAAAGATTTGGATTGGAAGATGAGGAGTTTCAGGATCTTGCCTATGTTTCTCTTACCTGCTCTCTCTTCTCTTGCTTATTCCTCCATCGTCACCTTCTCTAAGATCTGTGAGTCTTGTGTTTGACATGCTCTTGTATGTTTGTGTTTTCTTCTTTGTGTTAAAACTGGTTGTGTATAGTTGACCGCAGAGATCAAAGGACCTTGGAAAAGCTTCGAGCTGAAAGGTTGGATAAAATCAATGAGCTTAAAGAAAGAACCAATTTTTACATCACCCAACAACTTATTGAGGTAAGATGGTAGACTAGAACGGAGAGACAGGGTGACAGTTAGAACTCGTTGTGTTTATTTCTATGGGGCCAAGCATCCATACTTGAATATGACAAAAGGAATATGTTCAAATAATCGATAGAAAGGGAAATGAATGCTTGTCACTGTCGCTTGAGGTCTTTGATGGCTTACGACTTACAGCTGGTGCTAACATGGGCCTTTTTGATGCAGAGATATGACCCCGACCCCGCTGCAAAAGCAGCAGCTGCAACTGTCCTAGCATCCAAATTGGGTGCTGACTCTGGCTTAAAAGTAGTTTTAGGAGATGAAACTCAAGTCGATCCGGCTTGGGGAAAGAGTAATGACATGGAGGTCAACCAATCACAAGGGCTGAGGAATCGAAGACATCCGGATACTAGACCCCACGGTTCTGAAGGCACTTCAACACATCATTCTGATGATGAGTCTCGTCACTCTGGGGCAACCGAGAGATTACTAGGCACCGCGGATCAAAACCAGGGGATGGATCATCTCACGCATTACAGTCCTCAGGGATATGCGGCTCCTGATGGCAATTGGTTCTCACGCATCGCTGCTCTCCTTGTGGGGGAAGATCCAACACAGTCATTTGCCATCATTTGTGAAAACTGTCATATGCACAACGGTAAATGAATCTCTAAGCATCATCCTTTACCTGAATCCGCTAGCTTAGCTTCTAACATGGTTTTGCAATGTGTTTCATAATTTTGTGCAGGACTTGCAAGGAAGGAGGACTTCGCATACATTACGTATTATTGCCCTCACTGTAACGCCTTGAACAAACCGAAGCATTCAGAGGAGAATCCACTTCTTCCTCCTGTTCCCGCTCTGCTGGTCACAGAGCCTCCTTCATTGATTGAAACCAGTGAGGTGGTTAATAGTAGTAGCAGCTCGTCTAGTGAACGTGGGAATAGCCCCATTCCAGAAATTGAAGTATCAGAAATAAAGGAGGAAACTGCAACTACTGAGACCGGGACACCGACCTGAGTAAGATCCAGGTACCTGAAGAAGAAGGCTTTCTTTCGTGTGCAGTGTGCTTGTGTTACAGAAAGAAGGAGCTACTGCGTTTGTGATTCGTTTAGGTAAAATTTTTTACTATTTTTTATACTATGCTTACGGTTTTGATTCTGGTGTGTTTTTAAACCACAAGACAACCGGATTTTGGTGGGTAAATATTACGATTCTGATGTCGTCAATGATGATTTTTATACGTTTTTGGGTCTTAATCTTTTCAATTTGCGATACCTTTTCAGATTGTCTATGTATTTTTGTAATGTATTCCCTCTTCAATTTGGATCATATTTGATATTAATGCTATGAGCTACCGTTTCTTCATTTTGTTTATTTTCTCCAAAACTAAGCAAACATTTCCATCGATAAGTGAATTAAGTAATCTACATTATAATGCGGGAGTTTACTCATTCCTTAGAGCGCCACGTCAGTAAATTTGTGGGTTCCACATTTATTTAAAAAAAGACCATAGTTCGGCCAGGTGGTGTTAAGGGTAGAGTTTGATTTGCAAGGAAGTGACGAATCCAACAGCCTACATTTTTTATGTTTACATTCCATTTGGGTTTATCTCATATGGACTTATTGTTTTTAAGGCTCATAGAATAAAAGATAATGTTGCTAAAATGAGTCCCAACAAACGAATAATGTTGAGATTTTAAACAATGAACTAGGCCTTGACCCGTGTGATCACACAGGTATTTAATTTTATATTTTAGTTTGTATTTGTACTTAATGTTATATTTGTAATTGTAGCCATTTTTGTAAATGTAAATGTTATATTTATACTTCACTTTATATTTTTACATTTTAACGTAAAATATATCGCCGATATTAAGTATCATATAAACAAATCCAACTTTTATAATTAGATTCATGTCTAATATATATAGCAAATAAATTTTTTAAATGAAAAATATGGAAATAGATAATTATGAATTAGCAGGCTAATTATAAATGATACATTTTCTATAACATTTGTAAGCTACTAAAATGATTGTTAAACTTCTACCAAATTTGGAACATATAAAAATTAAGATTTAAATTTAATGTAACTGATAAGAAATTGGCCGTAAGTTTGTGTACATTACACCATTTTTGTGCTGATATTTTTTATTTTTTTCAAAATTTATCTGTGTCATAAAATTATTTAATACAATATCTATAAATATAGTAATTTTATAGTTTATATTGATTGATTGTATTTTGTCTTGTAAACCATCAATTGTATCACCATCACTTTTACCATATGAGCACAAATGTTTTATTTTTATTTTTTGTGGATAAAAATTCTATGATAATCTATAATAATTTTTTTATATACATGTTAAGTTGCTAAATAATTAAAATGGTGCATGTAATATATTTATATTGGTGAATAATATTTTGTTCATAAAAAAAAGAAGGAGAGTTACATGGTGGGGGAGAGTGAGACAAATGTAATTTATATTATTACATAAATATTTTGTGTATATTACTGATGGGATTAATATTTATAGTATTGAAATGTAATATGTAAGTTGAAAGTTTAAATTCAATTTATAGTGATCTTAATTTAGGAAATGTATTATTGATTTTGGAAAAGAGAAAAAGCATATAATTAGGGATAATTATTAATTCATTAATTTTGAAAAAGACAAAAATTACTTAAATATAGGTTCATTTAATTAGTTAATGGCATTGAATTGTAAATAACATGTAAATCTTAGGGGTAATTTATATTAGTACTTCTGTTTTAATAAAGTAGATGATAGTTCGGCCAAGTGGTGTTAAGGGTAGAGTTTGATTTGCAAGGGCGTGAGTTCGCATCCAACAGCCTAAAAGATATTGTTGCTAAAATGAGTCCCAACAAACGAACAATGTTGAGATTGGTTAAATTAATAATGTTGAGATTTAAAAATTTGTTATATTATAGAGATATTAATTTACAAAAATTTCTTTATTTAGATTTTTATTTAAAGATATATTTATTATAAGATAAAAATATACTTGATTGTAGTGTATAGACATTTATTATTTTTAATTAAAAATTTGATATTTATATTAAATTTATTATGTTATTTGGTGTATATAATATATTGCATATAATTTAAATGTTATTTTAGATAGAAGAATACTAAATCTCATCAAAATATATTAAGTGTTAAGAAAATATAAAGATAATTTCGTAGTGAATAAAAAAACATAATGATAAGTTCTTACTTATATAAAAATATGTATACATATAAATAATTAATTTATAGTTTTAGTGAGATCATATATATTTACACATAATTTTCTAAGAAAAATATTATATTATTATTTTATCGATATGTGCTAAACTTTTAATTGACCGAAATTAGAACTGACAAAATTTACTAATTTTAAAAAGTTATTAATTTATTGAGTATTAATTTTTTAGAGATTCATGAGCTGTATAAATCCGATTAAAACATGAGGCTCGGTGCTCTCTTTTTGAATAATCACGTAGATATATGGAATTGTATACCTTTAAACCTCGGTCTACTATCTTCAAAAGATTGCTGAGACGGTATTTTCACCCTAATAATTGATTTTTAATATAAACTTATATTTTAATTAATTAAATAAGTAAGTAAAATAAGAAGGGACGAAACAAAAATAAAAGAGACGAAAAGGAAATGATATAAATATGGTTTTACCTTTTCAATGAATGATTTAATGAAAATTGTAAGTTTCAAAAAAATTAATGGTGTTTATTGAGTTTATATTGGTTAAAAGTTATGGAAAATTGTTATTCACAAAAAACAATACATTTACAAGCAAAATTAAATGAGTTTTCTTAATATTTGTGAAAAGCCTAGAACATGGATTATTTAAGAACAGAAGGAGTATAATTTTTAGACTACACATTATATCACATGCTCTAGAATCCTTGGAATTTGAAATAGAAGTCAAAGAGGTATACCACATAGAATTGGAGTTATTTTTAATTCTTACAAACTTAAGGTTACAATTTTTTTAAATAATTCTCAACTAATATATAGGGGATAACTCATAGGGCTAATGAAAGTACTAAAAACCCCCTTTTTTTTCCTTTCTTATTAACAATTTTTCGATTAAATTAATTTATTAGTAAATATTTTATTTTTTTCTCAAAAAAAAATCCTATCTCTCTCCTTAGTTTTTCCCTTCCAAAGCCACGCCAACTAGAAAAGCTGATCCTTTTCACTTTTGTCTCCGGCGACTTCTCCTCCGTCACAGCCTCCTCCCTTTCGTCATCCCCACCTCAACTCGCCGTCATCTTTGTCATGGAAGAAGAACCCTAAATTCGATTTCCCCTTTGTGAAACCTGGCATGGCCAAAGCAGGTAACGCATTGTATTCTTACTGAGGTTTTAGTGTTTCTTTTTTTTCTTGGCTAAAGGCTTTCAATTTTAGTGTTTCTTGTGCCGCTTGTTCTGACTATTTCGTTACTTGGCAGACCTGGTGAACAACTTGGGAACGATTTCTAGATCTGGAACCAAGGAGTTTATGGAAGAACTCTATACATATGGTCAGTTTGGTGTTGGTTTCTCCTCTGGTTACCTTGTTGCTTAGAAGGTTATTGTCACTACCAAGCACAATGATGATGAACAGTATGTATGGGAGTCTTAAGCTGGTGGTTCCTTCACTGTTACAAGGGATGTGGATGGGGAACCACTTGGTAGAGGAACTAAGATCATTCTCTTCCTCAAGGAGGATCAGGTAATGAAATCAGTCTTGAGGATTTTTTTTTCTTATTGTGTTGTTATCTTATGAGTGTCTGTTTGTGCAGCTTGAATATATGGAGGAGAGGAGACTCAAGGACTTGATGAAGGGTCAGTTGTGAAGCATCTCTCAGTGGAGAGACAGCTGGAGTTCAAGGCGATTCTCTTTGTTCCAAAGAGAGCACCGTTTGATCTCTTTGACTCCAAAAAGAAGCTGAACAACATCAAGTTGTAGATCAAGAGGGTGTTATTTTAGCTCCCAGTCACCACTTACCTTCCCCTGTGTTTCTTCGTAGCAGGTAATGGTGATTCAAAAACATTTTCAGTTTGAAGCAAACCGTACTTTTCTGTCTGATTCTGATAATAACAACAGCCAAGGAGGTGGTTACGGTAACCATCCATTTCGACAAAGAGTATGATCAATTCACACTATTTTTGGACGTCTTAAGTCTTATCTACTTTCAGATTAATAACTGGTTACTACATCAATGCTTATTAGTGCTTTTATTATCATTGGTAAAGGCAAGAGACAAGTCTGCTCTGCTGCCTGATTGCTTCTTTGCTTCCCCATCAAAGACCGGTGAAACTCAAGAATAGTCAGAGTCTGAGAAAGAGAATTGTGTTACTCTTTCTGCTACTGTGGATAGTAAGCCAGCCTCAACACTTCCAATCAACCTAGCTATTAGTATGTTAAAATTCTGCACTAAGATGCACAATCATTAACCTGCTATTTCTCTTTCTTTGGAACTTTTCAGGGTCGACTGAGGCATAAATAACAAAGTTAATGTGTCAGAGGTAGGTATTCTAAGTCATACTGAAACGTGAATCTCCTTTAATAGCTGTTGAATCGTTTTAATTATCTTTGGTTGCAGAAAAGTAGAGACTGATAAAATCAGGAAGTAGAATAAGAGCTTTTGTCTAGAAGCTAAAGTGGGTTTATAACATGGAACCTAAAGATGAGTAGAGAGAAGACCAGTTAGTATTTTTTTTTTTACATCTCTAACAAAGCGGTTATGGAAATGCCAATATGCAATAGAATTACAACTAATTACTAACCCCAGACAATGCGTTGATAGGTAGAAATACAGTTACTCAAACCTTATGTTTTAAGTTTTTCGTTTGTTCATTGATGCTATGATTGTTTACCTTTTTTACCCGGTCACAAAGCCTGATTCTGGACAAGGTTTTATCGGTTTTCTAAGCTTATCCTTCTGTAATATAACTCTATTCTAATTAGCCAAGTCAATAACAAAAGCAAATAAATTCTTCTCACCCAATCAACTAATTTTTTCTTGCATAAAAAGGCTCGTTTTGAACTTAAAACTCTTTTGAGTCAAAATAAACCATGACAAATGTTACAGCAAATAACCACTTTTCTTTTAAATTTTTCAAATTACAATTGTTGAAAATAACCCTCTTGTCGGTATTGTTGACAAATGTTACCTCAAATCACCATCTTTGTCTGTATTTTCTTCGTCTCTACACAACGGGTCATTTATTTATATGGTTGTTTCTAATCTTCGACAGCTCATACCCAAACAATTTTGTTCACTTTAAACTCTACACATTTCTAATCGTCGCCAGTTCCTACCCCAACAATTTTGTTCACTTTAAACTACACATCTCAACTTTGAAAAGATCCAAAAATGCATAAAACTTCTTATCATTTCCTACTTTTAGCAGGTGGTGTATCGATGTTTTGATTGTGTAGATTCCGTTTTGGAAAAAGGTACCTCAATTCCAAGTTGTTTTCTGCAAAATCAACTTCGTAATTCTCAAATATGACTTTCACAAAATCTTTAAAATGAGTGTCCTCATTCACAACAACTAATATGTTACCTTGCTCATTAAATACATCAAATAAGCTTTTAGTTTTCTCAACTTCCCACTTTCCAGAGATCAGAATTATGTCGTAAATCACCGTGAAAATGGAACACGTGTTCTTGAGTGAAAGGTAAGAGGAAGAAAACGACAAAGAAAAGATAAACCTTAATTGTTTAACGTGGTATAATGTGACCTAACTTAAACCAATTTTAAAAATTAATTAAAACCAAAATTAATCTAAACCAGAACCGATATAAAAGAAATCAAAATCTGTGTGAAACTAACCCGAAATTAGAGTGGATATGCTTGGTACAATAAGTGTGTACCAACCTAGTAATTAAAATTTAATTTACAAATCTGCCGCCAAAGATGGAAATTTAGAAAGTCTGCCACCAAATGATTACAAAAGTCGATTACAAATATAAATCGGTTAAACATATCTGTCATAAAAAATATGTCTATTACCCATTATAAGTCGGTTGTACGTAATTTTAGATCGGTCTTACAAATCTAACCAGTCCAAAATAAAACTGAAAATTTTAAAAAATCGGTTACTTCATTCGACAGACTAAAGCATATAAATCGGTTGACAGCTTTAAATTGGACACACAAATCAGCCACCTCAAAACTATCTGCTGTGATTCTAAAGTCTGCCATCAAATACTTGGCAGATATAAATTTGAAAATAGTTTAAATTAATAGATTTATATACTGATAGATTTATTTTTTCGTAAATAAATCTGCCAACGGTGATTTGTCCCAAAATTTAAATGGCACTTTCGTAATATTAATTTTTGACCAGAACTATAAACAAGGGCATTTCTGACATTAATTTTTTTTAGTAATTTTAAACTTGTATGAATTATTCTAGTAATTACTAGATTAATTTTAGTCATTTTAGTAAACTTCCCTTAATATTAAGTATGCAAATGGTGTGAGTATTGATCCTAAGACCATTCACTTAAATGAGTTCGCAGTTACCCTCTTCCCACACATATCGTCTTTGACTAAATCAACAACACATTTACAACTAGCTGATAATGACCCGACCTCCAACTATCATAATATCCAAATAAAGGCAACTCTAACTACACAAGTTTAACAACAACATTATAAACAGAGATTACTCCTTAAGATCGGCAAATTACGCGCAATTACAAATTATAACACAAATATCTATCAATTTTGAGAATATGAACATCATTTAAAATAAATACGACATCATTTAAACCGAATCAAAGACTGAACCGAAACTGATCCAAACCAAACTAAAATCTATTATCAAATAGTTTGGTTTAAGATTTTTCTCAACTCTTTTTCCCACCATAAATCCTAACAAATGACAAATATTCACATACCAAATACCACCTCATAGAACACCATCTCCACATTTTTTATATAAAGCAATAATTTCATCAACTTCCCCGCGCATGCGCGGGGGATACGCACCTAGTAATCATAAGGCCAAAAGAGATTTGACATAAAAATACAGCGTAATGAAATTACACCACTTAATCATCAGTCCAAGACTCGTCTCAGTATCTTTGGATCCTAAAGGCCAACCCAGTAGGAACGGCCATTAGTGTAGTGCATCGGAGATGGAGTAGGCAAAGACACCGACCATTCATACCAAACCTGAACATGAATATCAGAAGATCAATAATGATACTCAAGACTAAGGGAGTATAGTTGTAACCATATTGTGGTTTTAACAATTTTTGTACCTTCAACGAACCACAACACCTCCAAAAATGTACTTCTAATGGAGAATCACCGTGAACCTCCACAGGTTTCCTCAGTGGGAAAAAGATGGGGAACCTACCAAAAGGAACACAATATTACATCGGTTTTCTTTTCGGTTTCTTTTTAAGCAAGAAGATGATCAATAGGAGAGAGCTGTTCAACTGTTTAATGACATTTAAAGTCATTACCAGCTGAACATGTTTGGTGTTGCTGTTATGGGCTCGATTCTAAAAGATGCACATCTTAATGAAGGACAGCATCAAAATAGCCAGCGAATCCTGTTTTTGTGGAGTTATGTATATGATCACAGCAGGTTAGTTTCAGATTCCCATTTTAAGTGACAAAAGACTAGAAAACCTTGTACCATGTATTGAATGTTTTCAATTAACTTTCTTGAATCAAAGTTTGTTACATGGTTTGGTTTATATAAGACCATGGTTTAGTAAAAGGAAGCTAAACCATAGCTAAACCGGAATGAAATAGATAACCAACATAGACCAATACATATATGATCTAATACGCCCCTCTCAAGCCGATGAAGCGGAAGCAAATGAAGATGGTGAAGTGGAAGGAAGTAATGGTATAGATGGAGTGAAGAGGCTTGAAGTAGACATACGAGAAAGGAGCGATAGAAACGGACCCGGTTGAAGTGGTTTGGTAAGAATATCGGCATGTTGATTGGAGCTAGAAACATGCATCAACCGGAGGAAGCCAAGCTTAACTTGATCACGAACTGTGTGACAATCAATCTCCACATGCTTAGTACGCTCATGAAACACCGGATTCGTGGCAATGTATATCGCGGACTTGCTATCACAGAAAAGCTTGGCTTGAGTCGTTACGTGTATACCAAGAAAGGTGAGAAGTTGTTGAAACCAGAGCAGTTCACAGGTAGCATGTGCCATGCTTCGATATTCAGCCTCTGTGCTGCTCCTGCTAACAATATCATGTTTCTTCGACTTCCATGTGATCAATGAGCTACCAAGATAGATGCAGTAACCGGTTATCGAACGACGACTATCAGGGCATGCTCCCCAATCAGAATCAGCAAAGGCATTGAGGCAAAGTTCAGAAGTAGCAGAGTAGAATAGGCCTTGTCCTGGATTCTGCTTAATGTAACGTAGAATCCGTTGTGCAGCTTGGAGATGCACATCCGTAGGAGCTGAAAGAAACTGACTCAGACAATGAACAGAATAGGTAATGTCTGGTCGTGTAATGGTCAGATACAACAAACGACCAATCAAAGCCCGGTAAGGAGAAGGATCATCAAATAGAGTACCAGTCTTGATGCTGAGTTTAACAACAGGATCCATGGGAACCGAAGACGGTTTGCAGGCTAACAAGCCAGCATCAGATAAGAGATTGAGAGCATATTTTCTCTGGGAAACAGAGATCCCTGCAGTAGTACGAGCTATTTCAAGACCTAAGAAGAACTTCAAATCACCAAGGTCTTTGATCTTGAAATGCGTATGAAGAGTGTCTTTCAAGAACTTCACTGCAGCCTCATCATTACTAGCAATCATTATGTCATCAACATAAATGAGAATTACAGTAAAAGAACCACCAGAACGGCGAACAAACAGAGTGTTATCAGACGGAGATTGAGCATAACCAGCTTTAAACAGAACACCAGTAAGACAATGATACCATTGCCGTGATGCTTGCTTCAAGCCATAGATAGACTTGTTCAACCGACAGACAGGATTTAGAGGCAAGGTGATACCAGGAGGTGGTGTGTAACCCTGAGGTAAGCTCATGTATATCTCTTCATCCAAGTCACTATGGAGAAAAGCATTTGAGACATCCATTTGAGAGAGCTGTAAACCCTTAACTGCAGCAATACTCAGAAGTAATTTGACTGTTGCTAACTTGGCTACAGGTGAAAAAGTATCTGTATAATCGACTCCTTCCTGTTGAGTGTAGCCCTTAGCTACCAAGCGTGATTTACGTCTCTCTACTGTTCCATCTGCACGGTATTTAGTAGTAAAAACCCATTTGCATCCTACAACATTCTTCCCAGAAGGAAGAGAAACCACATCCCAAGTTCTATTATCCTCCATAGCCTTCAGTTCATCATTAGTAGCTTTACGAAACTCAGGAGACAACATAGCTTGCTTGAAGGTTGTGGGTTCAGGATCAATGGAATAAGAGAGAAGAAAATGTTTATATAAAGGTTGCAGGTTAGAATAAGAGTGAACAGTTTCAAGCGGATAAAAGGATGAAGTAGAAGGAAGTGAATTATTGTGAAGAAAAGAACAATGATACTCAGAAAGATAACCTGGAGCACGAGCAGTACGTTGTGGCCTTGTTCGGAGAAGTTGACTTTGTCCAGTCACAGATGGGACAGTTTCCCGAGAAATGGTCACAGAAGGTAATGCAGATGATGATGCAGATGATGCAGGTAATGTAACAGGGTTAACTTGAATGATAGAATCTATACTAACAGGAGTAGACAATGGTAAAATGGTTTTAGGAAACAATTCATCAGGAGAAGGACTGTCAAGAAGAGTAGCAAAAGGAAATATATGCTCTTTAAAAACAACATTACGAGAGACAAAAATCTGATATGTGTCTAAATGTAAGACTTTATAGCCTTTATAACCTGATGCATATCCTAGAAAAACACAAGAATCAGCTCTAGATGTGAATTTATGCCTATCTTTAGATCATATATGTATTGTAGAAGATACTGGACTTGATCTTGACTAAAACGGTTAATATCACCAGGAGCCATCAAAGAAGAATTAGTGACATTAGCAACTGTTTGAGCAGGATACTGAGAAGCATGAGACTGAGTTTGTGGCCGAGGAAAACCACTCTGATTCTGTTGTCCCCGAGGTGCCAGAGAAGAGGTTGGACCACGAGGTGTTTGACCATGAAAACGATGGCCAGGAGGATATCCATGTATCTTAAAGCATTTCTGCAAAACATGTCCATACTGTCCACAGTAAGTACAAAGAGGTCTCTGCTTAGGACGATAGCCATGTTGAGCAGCAAGCACTGGAGTATCAGTAGAAGAACTCATGTCAGTCACAGAACCAGTAGTCTGAAAGACAACAGCATCACTCTTCACAGGTGGTTTAATAGTCTTCTGCCTTTCATCCTGAGTAATCATATTAACCACATCTTCAAGAGAAGGAATCGGTTTTATCATCAAGATCTGACGACGACTAGCCTCATATGACTCATTAAGCCCCATCAAAAACTTCATCACTCTACTACGTTCCTGTATCTTCTCCCATAAAGCAGCTGCATTACACTCACACTTGCCACAAGTACATACAGGAAGATTGACATAGTTCTTAAACTCCTCCCATAGAGTAACCAACTCCGTATAGTAAGTGGTAACATCCATTGAACCTTGTTGAAGAGAACTCAAACGTTGTTCAATCTCAAATACTCTTGGGGCATCATCCTGCTTATAACGAGCTAACAAATTCTTCCAAATAGACTCAGCAGTAGACATATACAAGAGACTCTGAGCTATCTTCTTAGAAACTGAGTTCATAAGCCAAGTCGTAACCATATCGTTACATCTAGACCAAGATCCAGCATCATGATGATTATCAGGGGGTTTTGGAATCGTACCATCAATGAAGCCCAGCTTATTGCGAACGTTGAGTCCCATACGAACAGATCTCTTCCAAGAATGAAACTCCGCACCAGAGGAAAGCTTATCGGAAACAAGAACCAAGCCAGCGTGATCCGAGCTATGGAGATAGTACGGATTCTCATAGTGATCCAGAAACGATCGATTAGAATCAGGGGAACTCATGGTGAAGATGAATCGAAGAGGATTGAGAGAAAATCAGAAGCTTCAAACACCAAAGATCGAAGAAAGAAACGACGAGATGACGGAAACAAGTCGGATTGCCAAGAAAACGATGAGATCAACGAAGAGAGAGATCAATCGGAGCTCCGAGAAGCTCACCGCCATGAAAGAGAAGCAAATCCAGCTCGAGATATCAAGAATCGTCGGAGAAGAAAGCCGTTAGAGGCTCTGATACCATATTGAATGTTTTCAATTAACTTTCTTGAATCAAAGTTTGTTACATGGTTTGGTTTATATAAGACCATGGTTTAGTAAAAGGAAGCTAAACCATAGCTAAACCGGAATGAAATAGATAACCAACATAGACCAATACATATATGATCTAATACCATGCACAAAGGCTGAGCCAGAGATGACCGCAGATGACCATAGAAGCCAATCAAATCATCTAATCTTCACGTCAAGGCTGGCTCAGATGACCATAGCTTGTACCAAGTCATATTTAAATCTATATGGTGGATTATTATATTATACATATATTGTTCTTATATAGGATATAAGTCGATTCAACAAATTAAAGAGGGGTTTTTAATATACAAATTCATTGATTTGGTTTATTCAATGGAAACAAGCAGGAATTTATAATGTATAAGAATGATGAAGCTAAATAAAATCTATTAGGATGAGATCCGTGCTATACGGGTTGTAAGTTTATCGTGTCAAATATCGCTTATATATTAATTGTGGATCTTTTAAAAAATTAGAATCTTAATTTTTTATTAATTAAAAAAAATCTTATCCTATGTGGCATTTCTCTATACCTTTTAAATCTTATTTCTAAAAATTGTAGAGCACCTTATATAAACTATAATTTAAAAATATATTAGGAACATTATATAACCAAAATATAAAAAAGTATCTTTTCCTTAAATAAAACCTTTGGAATTACCTAATATGGTTAACATATATATGAAAAAACCGAACACAAACCAAACCGAACTAAAACCTACCGAACACAAACCAAACCGAACTAAAATCAAACCGAACACAAACCAAACCAAACTGCAACATAATCAAACCGAACATAAACCAAACCAACTAATATAGGTTGACTTTGGGTAAAAATTTCTTAGAGCCAAACAACCCAAACCAAACCGAACCCGTAATAAAACTGAAATGCCCATACCTAACTAAAAGCATTTAAAATGACAAGTATTAATTCGATGGTTGATGTGAAACCTTTCAAAACCATATAGAAGATAAAAGTCAAAATAATTTAACTGTGGAAACAATACTGTTCACTTTTTTTTTCAAAAATGTGTTTTGTGGAAAAAAATAAGGTTTTTAATTTTATGTCATAATTTGTTTAATATTCAATCCAATCAACCCATAATATATTAACTAGGATAAGACATGCGCAATGCACA